TGCAAAAAACCTGAACAAAATACTAGCAAACAGAAGCCAGCAACACATTAAAAGGATCATACACCATGATCAAGTGGGATTTACCCCAGGGATGCAAGGATCCTTCAATATACGTGAATCAATCAATATGATACACCACATTAACAAATTAAGGAATAAAAACTGTATGATCATCTCAGTAGATGCAGAAAAAGCTTTTGACAAAATTCAACACCCATTTATGATAAAAACTCTCCAGAAAACGGACATACAGGGAACCTACCTCAACATAGTAAAGGCCACCTATCACAAACCCACAGCAAGCATCATACTCAATGGTGAAAAACTGAAAGCATTTCCACTAAGACCAGGAACAAGACAAGGATGTACACTCTCGTTACTCTTATTCGACATAGTTTTGGAAGTCCTAGCCACGGCAATCAGAGAAGAAAAAGAAATAAAAGGAATACAAATTGGAAAAGAAGAATTAAAACTGTCACTGTTTGCTGATGACATGACATTATACATAGAAAATCCTAAAGATGCCCCTAGAAAACTACTAGAACTAATCAATGAATTTGGTAAGGTTGCAGGATACAAAATTAATGCACAGAAATCTCTGGCATTCCTATACACCAACAATGAAAAATCAGAAAGAGAAATTAAAGAAACACTCCCATTTACCACTGCAACAACAACAAAAAAATACCTAGGAATAAACCTGCCTAAGGAGGCAAAAGACTTGTACTCATAAAACTGTAAAACACTGGTGAAAGAAATCAAAGATGACAATCACATGGAGAAATACACCATGTTCTTGGGTTGGAAGAATTAATACTGTGTAAATGACTATACTACCCAAAGCAATCTACAGATTCAATGCAATCCCTATCAAACTACCAGTGGCATTTTTCACAGAACTAGAACAAAAAATTTCACAATTCGTATGGAAACACAAAAGACCCCAAACAGCCAAAGCAATGTTGAGAAAGAAAAACAGAGTTGTAGAAATCAGGCTCCATGACTTGAAACTATACCACAAAGCCACAGTAATCAAGACAGTATGGTACTGGCACAAAAGCAGAAATACAGATCAATGGTACAGGATATAATGCCGATAGATAAACCCACGCACATATGGGCACGTAATTTATGACAAAGGAGGCAAGAACATATACAGTGGAGAAAAGACAGCCTCTTCAGTAAGTGGTGCTGGGAAAACTGGACAGCTACATGTAAAAGAATGAAATTAGAACACTCCCTAACACCATACACAAAAATAAACTCCAAATGGATCAAAGACTTAAATGTAAGACCAGACACTAAAACTCTTAGAGGAAAACATAGGAAAAACACTCTTTGACATAAACCACAGCAAGATCTTTTTTGACCCACTTCCTAGAGTAACGGAAATAAACAAATGGGATTAAATTAAACTTAAAAGCTTTTGCACAGCAGAGGAAACCATAAACAAGACAACCCTTAGAATGGGAGAAAATATTTGCAAACAAAACAACAGACAATGGATTAATCTCCAAAATATACAAACAGCTCATGGAGTTCAATAGCATAAAAATAAACAACCTTATTAAAAAATGGGCGGAAGCCCTAAATAGACATTTCACCAAGGAAGACATACAGATGGCCAAGAGGCACATGAAAAGCTGCTCAACATCACTAATTACTAAAGAAATGCAAATCAAAACTACAACGAGGTATCACCTCATGCTGTCAGAATGGCCGTTATCAAAAAATCTAAAAACAATAAATGCTGGAAAGGGTGTGGTGAAAAGGGAACCCTCCTGCACTGTTGGTAGGAATGTAAATTGATACAACCACTATGGAAAACAGTATGGAGGTTCCTTAAAAAACTAAAAATAGAACTACCATATGACCCAGCAATCCCACTACTGGGCATATACCCTGAGAAAACCATAATTCAAAAAGACACATGTACCACAATGTTCACTGCAGTACTATTTACAATAGCCAGGACATGGAACCAACCTAAATGTCCATCGACAGGTGAATGGATAAAGAAGATGTGGCGCATATATACAATGGAATATTACTCAACCATAAAAAGAAATGAAACTGAGTTATTTGTAGTGAGGTGAATAGACCTAGAGTCTGTCATACAGAGTGAAGTAAGTCAGAAAGAAAAAAACAAATACTGTATGCTAACATATATATACGGAATCTAAAAAAAAAAATGGTACTGATGGGCAGGAATAAAGAGGTAGACATAGAAAATGGACTTGAGGACATGGGGTGGGAAGGCACAGCTGGGGCAAAGTGAGAGTAGCATCAACATATATACACTACCGAATGTAAAATAGTTGGCTGCTGGGAAGCAGCAGCATAGCAAAGGGAGATCGGCTCGGTGCTTTGCAATAACTTAGAGGGGTGGGATAGAGAGGATGGGAGGGAGGCTCAAGAGGGAGGGGATATTGGGCCATGTGTATGCATATGGCTGATTCGCTTTGTTGTGCAACAGAAACTAACACAGTATTGTGAAGCAATTATACTCCAATAAAGATCTATTTAAAAAAATTAAATTTAATTTAAAAAATTTAAAAAAGTAAAAAATAACTCAGGATGGAAGTGGGGCTGGGTATGTATAGTCACTGACCATACACACACACACACACACACACAGTGTATATAGTGATAGTGAATGCTGTCTTTTGTGAAGAAAAGGAGAAATTCAAAGACATGTATCTGCTTAATTTTGCAAAAAGAAACACAAGGAAAGATAAATAATTGATCACTTACAGAGGGTGGATGCAGACTAAAGTAAAAGGAATGGGGAAGGAAGTGACACTTTGCAAATATAAATACACCTTTTTGTCTATTTTGAGTTCACAACTGAGAAAAGTTTTGACTTTCACGAGCAAAGTATTAAAAAAAAAAAATTGGCCTACCTCCTAAATATCCTACGCCTTCCTTTATTCTCACCTAAAAATAATAACCCACAAACAAATAAACAAAAGAGCCCTGCTGGGAAACATGCTCCTCCTACCTGGGGAAAGCTTTTTAAAAGTTTCTCTTCTATACCTAGAAAACCAACTGAAAACTTAGGACCCATCAGTAAGATAGTGGGATGAAAATATATACATACAGAAATCAATATCCTTCCTATGTACAAACCCAATCTCCAATTACATGACATAATGAAAGACCTCATTTACAAGAACAAAGAAGTAAAACATACCTAAAAATAAACTGAAAATGCATAAAATCTGTATGAAATAAACATTGAAACATTCATGAAAAAACACTAAGGATGGCCTGAATAGGTAGGCCATCCATGTTCCTGGATAGAAAGACTCACCTTTGTAAAGCTTTATTTTTTAATAATCTATTCATCAATTCCCTAATTAATAAATGTAATGCAACTATAATACAAATTATCAGTAGGTTTTATTTCTAGAGCCTAGACAACTAACTCAAGTTCAAACAGAAAAATAAACACACAAGAATGGTCAAGAAAGCTCATAAAAAGAGCAATGAGGAGTATGGGGAAGAACGGGCCTTACTAAATATTTAAAAATGCTATACAATCTGAATCATTAAAAGCATGGGGCACTACTGGTACACAAATCATCAGTCAAACCAGTCCAACAGCAGAGAAGCCCCAGAAATAGACTACAACACAGACAGAAAAATTTAGTATATGACAAAGGAAATATACATCAAATTAGTGTTAGGAAAATTGAGTTTTTAATAATGATATTGGAAGAACAAAGAAGCATTTAGAAAGATAAAATGAAATTGAATCAATGTACCATATGGCAAACAAGGATAAACTCCTAATGGATCAAAGACGTAAATGCAAAAATTAAAAGCATAAAAGTACAAGAAGAAGCAATGGGGGAATTTTATTGTAACCTTGGAATAGGAAAGATTTTTTTACCTTTAAGACTCATAATGTAGAAGTCACAAGAGAAAAAACTTGAGGAATTAAACTATACATAAATCAAAAATCTCTATAAAATCAAGTCTCATAAACAATTTCTAAGAAGAAATGACAAAGTAGGAATGATACTTGAAACCAAATCACTAAAGAATAATCTCCCTAATACAAAAAGAACTCCTGGAAATAGGAAAAAATAAACCAAAAAAACCCCCCACAAAAACAGACTCCATGAAAAATCGGCAACGTATACAACTCACAGAAAAGGAAATACAAATGGCCTTCAAATCTATGAAGAGATGGTCACCTTCACTCTTAAGAAAAATGCAACGGAAATTACTATATACTGGTACCACTTCTCATCTATCAGATGGACAAAAATACACAACTTTGGTAACAATCTGCAGTAGCTATAGGGAAACAGGCATTCTCATACATAGCTGGTTAAAGTACAAGCTGCTGCCAATCTTTATGAAGGACAATAGGGAAGGAAATCGCTCAAAACTACAAACACACTCACCCTCTGACCCAACAATAAATACCATTTACGAAAATTTTCTCTGCATACTTGCACATTACAAAATTATGTACGTACAAAGCTGTTCATTACAGACTTATATAATTTATAAAAAGAAAATTAAGAAAACCCATTCTACTGCAGGCTGGTTATATAAACCAAGTACTGCTAGATAATGGAAGTTCATGAAGTTGTAAAAAGGAATGAAGCCGTACTTTCTGATAAATACAGAAAGTTCTCCTGGTAGTTAAGTGACAAAAGCAAATTGTACAACCATGTATATTTTGTTTTACCTTTTGTAGAAGATGAAAATAAAAATTACATATTTTCATCTGTACCTATATGCAAAACTGGAAGGATATACCAAAAAAAACTAATAAAGTCATTACTTGTGGGAACAGGGTAGATGGACACCTGGGTGGAAGTTAAGACCTATCATTATATAACTTTTTATACTCTCTGGATTTCTAAACCACGTAAAGACATTACATATTACTCATTCAAAATATAAAGTTAAAAAAAATAGACTGAAAAGAGAAAAATTTCCCCCTGCTTCCTCTTCAGTTTTAGCACATGCTTTCAACCTACCTCCTAGGGGATGGAGACCTAGAAGATTTCCGTTTTATGGTTTTTGATGTCCTTGGTGATCTGGAAGAACTCCTGCTCCTCCTCCTACGCCTTTCCCTGGAAGTCAAAAATATGTCATTTTAAAAAACAGTAATTTAAATAAAAGATAATACAAATACACAAAATCAAAAGGGTCCTTAATGCTCTCAAGTGAACAGTATTCTTTACAGGCCAGTTTAAACTAATGTCTTTCATGAAAATGGTCTGTTATCTAATTCTAGTACAGGTCAAATTATGAGCTGTAAATTTTACAGACCAATGAAAACATCTTCTAAGATTTCATATCAGAAAGGGTAGACGACCTCCTTTTCACCTGATTTCTTGAGTAGAAAAAATAGTAATGGATGTTTCTTTCACATTCTCTCTCAAGTCAAACATGCTCTTCCTCAGCACCTAAAGCATGTGTTGCTTATCAGATCCTTTGTCATGCATCTAGCTCCTTGCTGCCCCACTGTGGATTATTTTTTAACAAGGTAACAGGCCCTTTTCAAGAACTGAAAGGTAAATGGGCTTGCAAAATGTGAACTTTTTAAACCCAAGTATGTAGAATGTCTCTAAACATTAATTCATTTGACAGAGAAATTGCTTTTACCCCCTTAACCTACCATTTCATTATTGTTGTTCTATTCATTTAAAATTGAGCGCACAAGTTGCTTAGATGTAAGGAAATTACTTAAAACCTGGGATTTAAACATGATGAAGTCAAAAATAATTATTAAATAGATTAACAGTTTTATTATTATTAAAAACTATTTTGCTTAACACATTACCAAATGATGCATACTCTAATAAACTACTTCATTTGTAAGGGTGGTCAACTTAGAAACAATGAATTTCAAGATGTCTATTATTCAGGTGACGAGGTATATGGGTACATTTATTAAATGATTAATGTAGCCAATGACCTATCTCACAAGAAGCTCTGATAATTAGTGGCCACATAGCTGAAACAACCAAATCCTCCAGAATTCAAGTTCTCCTTATCACCTCAGTAAGCTGATTCTAGGCTAATGAAACGTTCTGTGTACATTTTTCATATGTAAAATAAAAAACTAGACAATGCTCATATGTGGTATACACAGTAGATGTTACTACCAAGAGCTCAAGAACTTTGAGAACACAAATAAATCAATTCCAACTCTACCTAAGGTTCTCTCCTCCTTTACCCAATTTTATTTCCAAGTCACCCCAAAATTATACTTCCTAATATGGAAATTAGATGATGTTATTCCATTTAATCAATGCCATTCTGTAACAGCACCTCCCTACCCCACACAAGAACCAGAAGTACTTTTTTCATAGCATGAGAATATCAGTGTATTCCAGACTTTAAGTTTACACAAAATGGCTGCTCCATCTTCAACAGTGTAACTCTTTACCTGTATGTTCAGGAAGCACTATGTACAGATGGACATCTAATAATTACCAGTTAGTGATAATGAGAGCTAAGGCTGGACAGACAGAAGCTAGAATGTCAGTTAGTCGAGAAAGAAGCTGTCAGCTCTAGTATGCAGAATTGGAGTTGATTAGGCTTACATTTAAATTTCAGTTCCACATCTTACCAACTGCACGACTGGGGTCATATTACTTTATCTGAGTCTCAGTTTTTCCAATTGAAAAATGGAGATAATAACTCGAGCCTTGTAGTTTTGAAGATCAGGATAATACCTGTGAAATACCAAGCCTAGTGTCTGGTGCACAGCAGGTGCTCAGTAAATATGTTCTCCTTCCCTTTGATGGTCTCATCCTTATTAATTGTAATTCCAAGCATTAAAAGTTTTTAAATATCAAAATTTTTCCTTAAAAATGTAGCTCAGAAGACAATGTTGGAAATAAAAACATTAAGTAGACTATTATTCTGGGCAGTTAAGAGGTTTCCCATTCACTAAACAAATCAGAGCACCTTAAAGGAAGAAAAATGCTAAAAGATAAGAAATGGTAACTCTTCAGCAAGCTCTTCTGAAAGCATAAAACATTCCAAACTGCTGAACCTTTAGGAACTAACATTAGTCAACATTTATTCTCCAGGCCCCAGAGGTTATCTAAGACCTAAGAACTGAATGTGAACATCTACACTTTCTTAAATATCAAGTGACTTAAAACGACCCATGAAAAAATTATAAACATTTCAAAGTCATCAGAAAAAGTAAATTCAACTGAATTTAAAAGGAATCGAGGGGACTTCCCTGGTGGCACAGCGGTTAAGAATCCGCCTGCCAATGCAGGGGACACGGGTTCGATCCCTGGTCCGGAGAGATGCCGCAGGGCAACTACACCTACATGCCACAACTACTGAGCCTGCACTCTAGAGCCCACATGCCACAACTACTAAAGCCCGTGGTGCCAAAACTACTGAAGCCCGCTCACCTGCAGCCCATACTCTGCAACAAGAGAAGCCACCGCAATGAGAAGTCCACGCACCACAACAAAGAGTAGCCCCCACTATCCACAACTAGAGAAAGCCCACGTGTAGCAATGGAGACCCAAAGCAGCAAAAAATAAAAATTAATTTTTTAAAAAGGAATCGAAATATTATTTGGTGTTGTGAAGGGCAATGTCTAAACGATCACACAAACACAAAGGAATGTGTGAAACACAACCAATAAAATAACTGCAATAAAGATGCAGTCTGCAAGGCTCAACTGATACCCACAGCAAATGAGTTAATTTCTTCAGGTTTTGGTTCAATGTGCTGAAATATGGCAATGACCCACTGATTTGAAGTCACATTTTAACATATACTGTTGCTTTCAACTATATACTTCTGACGCTTTTTTTTTTTTTTTTTTTGCAGTACGCGGGCCTCTCACTGTTGTGGCCTCTCCCGTTGCGGAGCACAGGCTCCGGACGCACAGGCTCAGCGGCCACGGCTCACGGCCCCAGCCACTCTGCAGCATGTGGGATCTTCCTGGACCGGGGCACAAACCAGCATCCCCTGCATCAGCAGGTGGACTCTCAACTACTGCGCCACCAGGGAAGCCCCTTCTGACGCATTTTTTTAAAGCCAGTACCAAGTACTGGTTAAAGTCCTCAATTAATCTCTAAAGAGAGGAGAAGAGCTACTATACTACTATACTTCTAACTAAAGTGCAGAGCAGATGGAAAATTTCCTCTGGTTTGGTTTCCTCATGTTTTAAAACCATGATAACAGTCTTCTCACAGGCTTACTGTGAAGATTAAATAAGATCAGTCATGAAAAACTCTGCTGAGACATAAAACCTGGCATATGGTAAAGCACTCAATAAATGCTTGCAATTGTCTTCTATTAACTAGCCAAAGACTAGTATTAAGAATAAGCTGTTAAAACACAAAGTTAAAAAATTTAGGAAATATATAGTCCATTGTCTCAGAAATTATGTTCTATGAAAAACCATTTTAAAATATCTTTAAAACTTGCAAAAAAATATTTTTAAAGTATTTTTAAGATATAGTTTAACACAACTTAGGAACTTCCATTTATTTATAGTCACAATATCATCTGGAGCAACGGATGTAGATTGAGATAATCTTGAATTAAGGAAGGTCCTCATTTTGCTGATGTTACTATGGCAACCTGCTGCCACCTGGTGGCAGTGTACCTATTAATAAACAGTCCTAAGAAAAAAGCAAATCCTTAACAACAAATAAATGAAAACCAAAATTTAAACGTCATGTATTCAACAAAGTAGAGCAGTAAAAATGAACTTAGGTGACGAAAAGGACTAATACTGTAACTTTAGAAATAATTTTATATATTAAAATTTACCACATCATTCCAAAGAAATATAGACGCCTAAGAAGTCAATTTCTCTACATAAACAAAACAAAAACAAAAAACTTGCCCCTGTGATCCCACCCTCCAAGAAAATAATAAGCAGCAGCAACAGCAGCCACTGACACCACTGCCAGGTTAAAATAGTGGATTACAAAGGACAGTTAACTTTTCAAGTAATTCTGGCCAATATTCTCTCTTCCTCCTCATAGATTCAATACTGTAGCAATCCCTCTGCTAGAGAAATGTTTACTCTGCTATCAGAGGGAAATGTTCTGATACTATTGTACTGATTCCACTTGTGCACAATTATCTTTTCCCCCCAGTTAAAATTTATGTTTTCGTTTGTCATCAGTAAGCCCTTTGGTAAAAACTTTAAGCATTATCAAACCTGCTGGAACTACGAGATCTTCTTGATGCATTGTAACTTCTGGGTGGTGTTCTGGACTTTTTATCCTTCTTTCTTTTCTCATCTATCTCTTTGGATCTGTCCTTTTCTCGTTCCTTTTCTTTGTCCTGTTCCTTCTCCTTCTCTTTGTCTCGTTCCTTTTCATGCTCTTTTTCCCGCTCTCTCTCTCTGTCCTTCTCCTTGTCTTTATCTCGGTCCTTTTCCCGTTCTTTATCCCGGTCTTTATCTTTGTTTTTACCCCGTTCCTTTTCTTTTTCACGTTCCTTTTCCCTGTCTCTCTCTTTTTCCCTTTCCTTTTCTCTATCTTTTTCTTTCACTCTTTCCTTTTCCTTGATTTTTTCTCGGTTGTCTTTTCTTTTGTCCCTTTAAAAACAAAAGTAAATAAATAAATTCACAACTAAAATAATTCTACTCCCCAACAAGGACCATGTCATTCTCTTTCCTCAACAATTATCAACACAAAACAATGTATAATAGCTGTAAGACATTACATATAAATTTCTAAATAATTTATGTGTACATGAAGCTGCTAAATGAAACAATTATCAGGCTGAATTTAGTCTGGAAATCACATGAGTCATACTAACCATCAGATTCAAATCAATGACAATCGATATTAAATCATTACTGAAACAATCAGAAAAACGTTTAATTTCTTTCATTAAAAATTTAAACAACAGATTTTTAACATATGAGGTCATGAGAAAACTACCCTTAATTTCCAAAAAACTCACCGTGAACGCGAACGACTCCTTGACTTCCGCCTCTCCCTTGATTTAGAGCGTTTTTTATGAGGGCTCTTAGATCTACGTCTATCTTTTTGTCTTGAACGTGATCTATTATGGGATCTACTCCTAAAGAAAGACAAATTGTTAGAATATCAAAACTTATTCTTAGAATTTCAATTTATAAACATTTAAGGTCTTTCAAATAAGAGAATTTTAAAACCAATCCTGACAGTATTTATCAATATTTTTAAATTCTCTATTACATAATGCTTCAAAATTAGATTATCTGACATAAATTTATTTATTGAAAACTTCACCAGACATTTCATTGTCCAGAACACAAAGACAGAAACAGAAAAAGAATTTAAGTTATTTCCTATGTCAGACTTAAGTTGACAGTTTCAGGTGTGGCTTTCTTTTGCTAAATATTACATGGCTCAATTAGAACAGACAACTTCTCCCATGGTCCAAATTTTCATACCAAAAATTGTCTTTAACTCTTGACTTGCATGTAATATTACTGCTTGTGGCTATAACTTATCTTTGACAGGGAGTAGTGGTTATATGGTTCAATGGTTTCTATAAATGACTGTGTGCTATTTGTCATAACACGTACTAAGAAGAATGCATAGGGAAGCACAGTACTAATGATGGTGCTAGTGTGACAGGAAACCAAACATCTTACTCGTGAGTTAAAGCTAAATATAAGCAAATGTTGAATTTGCAAAGCCTTGATTTTATTACCTAAACAAAGCTATTAAAAGAAACCTTTATTACTGGCATTCTTGGAGGAAAAATAACTGTTTTTTTAAATTCTGAAATTCTCTAGGCTCCTTTCCCAACTGAAATAATAGCTTATACAACGTGACATTTTTCATAATGAGGTATCCTAGGAACTATTTACTTAAATGTAACCAAATTGAAAGCATACAACTTAAACAACAAAGTGATGAGACTCACCGGCTTCGCAGTTAAACAATCTGGCTCTGACTCTTTCTGCCACACAATAGCTGTGAGAACTCTGGCTAATCACTCAACCTCTCTAAGCCTGAGTTTCTTCATCTAAGAAGTGGAGTAAGAATCATACCTATACCTCCTAGAACTGTCATGAGAATTGGAACAGATGATATACGGAAAACTGCCTAACAGTTTTGAGTGCAGGGCAAATGATTAAAAATCCTATCTCAATATCTGCATCATCACCATTATTAACAATTAACATAAATGAAAACTTTAAATTGTATCTCTATTTATTCCAAGGGGTCAAATGAACATCTACAAGTATGCCTTATATAATTAAAACTCATCTTGATAGTAATATCTTCATGAATTAAGTTAAAACAAATATCTATAAAATATAGTTAAATGCTTGTGCTATGCCATGAAACCAGAAGTCTCCAGACAATCCTCAATTAAGTAATGATCTTGTTCTTAAAACACATTTTTCAGTTAGTTAAAATTTGTTTTCCAACAGCTAATTTTCAACTGAACCACTCATCTATTATACACTTATCTTCATACCTCATTTTTAATATATGAAGATAATTCGTAGTTTGTTGAAACCTTTATCACTAATAACCTAAGAGACACAAGGGTCAAGTAGTAGCTATCAGGGGAAAACTTAAAAACTTATAACATTTTTAGTCCATTTACAGACATCCACATGAGGGTAATAATGTTTTAAAGAGCCTTTGCTTCTATGTACTTAATAAGTCTTAAGATTTCTATTCTAGTTAACCTTGCTAAAAAAAATAAATAATAATTTTGTTTGCTTCAAATAGCACTTTCCAATCTTAATTAAATAAACTCCTTTAAGAAAATTAACCATAGCCATAACAAATAAAAGTTAATAATAAAAAAGCACTGACCACTTGGCTTCCCACCTTATCCTGTGGGTCCTCAGATTTGAAAGTCACTGCTCAAGAGTAATTATTGTATTTCAATTTTGACATTAAATACTTCATGTCTGTCTCACCCACTAGTTGCCTACAAGTTTTCTATTAGGAAAGCTAAAAGCTTCAAGTCAAGAGCAAATCTAATCCAACCAAAGATAAAGATTTGAGCTATCATTAGCAGCTGTCATTTTAACATGATGTACAAAATTGCATTTATAAGTTAAATTGTAAATAAAGAGCAACTTACCATTATGTTGCATCAAAGTTCATTTGTAAGTCAGCTGTTTCCCATTAAAATATTATAAAATGTCTTATAGTTCCTATGCTGGTCTGTAAAGGTTACTTAACTTTAAAATATAATAGAGTACTACTACCCACCTTTTCTAACACTGTCCCTATGAAAAAAACACATATAAAAATTTGGACAGAGTGGAAACACATCTTCCCAGTTCTAGCCAAGGTCATAGTAACAAATAACTATTTCCTCCCTCCTACAGAAAGAAGAAGGAACAGGGAAAGAGTCAGGGGAAAGTTCTAGAAGTATCAGAACACTAAGAAGGTGGGGCTTCAAGAACAAGGGCTCCTGCAACCCACACTCCTGCTAGGTCTAGTGGGTCAGAGCCAGAGCTGAGGGTATCCAATCCCACTAGAAGAGGAGGGGAAACCGAGAAATGCTTGCCATCCCCTACCGGTGGAGAGGGGGAGGGAGTTCCATAAGTCAAATGGTTTTGGGTGAGGAATTTCTTTTCTTTTCAACAAAACTCATCCTCTTTTTTATTTCTTTATGACCTTAGTAAAGGCTTCTTGTGTTTATATACACCATGTATAAAAACAGTATATGCTGACAAAAAAGACATACAGGCATACCTCAGAGTTATTGTGGGTTTGGTTCCAGACCACCGCAAAAAAGGGAGTATCACGATAAAGCGAGTCAGGAATTTTTTGGCTTCCCAATGCATATACAATTTATATTTACTCTATACTCTAGTGTATTAAGTGTGCAACAAACAATGTACATACCTTAATTAAAAATACTTTATTGCTAAAAAATGCTAATTGTCATCTGACAATGCAGGGCTGCCACAAACTTTCAATTTGTTAAAAAACCACAATATCTGTGAAGCACAATAAAGCAGAGTAAAATAAAACGAGGTGTGCCTGTGTGTATGGGCGTGTTTGGGTGTGCGCGCCAGCCAAGAACAATTAATTTCTAATGTTACATAATTAGATAGACCTCCATGAAATCACTCCCATGAATAAGAATAATTAACAAATTTCATTTTAGACAGAATAACCCTTCCTCCACTAACCCTTGGAAAGGGAAAATATCCCAATATACTGAAAACGATAAGAGTAAAAACCTTAGTTAAATTATTTGTCCCAACAGAGAAAGCTTCACAGAAATTATCAAGGAAAAAATGTTAATAATCAAATTTTGCTTTTTTTCTGCCTTAGAAAACCACTAAGGTATTAGATTTGGAGCATGGCCCTTATAACACAAAGTAAGATTTAAGTCATTGCTCTTTTTCTTCCTCAGAAAAGTTATTACTCTTCAGCTCAATTCTGTATTTTCTTGATCTCCTTTACCTTCACCACCCTGTTGACCTATAGAAATATCCATAATCTAGTACCACTGATTCTATACCACTTTCCTTCTCCAATTCTGGCTTTGCTACACTGTCTTATTCCTTGTACATGAAACAACTTCCTTCCCTTGGACATGAATTTGCCTTACTGTAAGGCCTTGGATAGAGATAGAGATTAAAACCATATTCCAAAAGGAATTCTGCAAGTAATAGTAGAGACATATACACGAGTAGAGAGCTGAAGTATAGTTTGCTAAAGTCTAATTAAGAATATCTGCAACTAGGGATTATCATACTAAGTGAAGTCAGTCAGAAAGAGATGACGAATACCATATGATATCACATGTGGAATCTAAAATATGATACAAATGAACCTATCTATGAAACAGAAACAAAATCAGGGACATAGAGAATAGACTGCTGGTTGCCAAGGGGGAGGGGGATGGGAGAGGGGAGACGTGAGAGTTTGGGATTAGCAGATGCAAACTGGTATACATAGAATGGATAAACAACAAGGTCCTACTGTATAGCACAGGGAACTACATTCAGTATCCTGTGATAAACCATAATGGAAAAGAATATGAAAAAGAACATATATATATGTATAATTGAGTCACTCTGCTGTACAACATTGTAATTCAAGTATACTTCAATAAAAAATAAATTAAAAAAAAGAAGATCGTATTTTCCTATCTCATTACCTCAATCTTGATTAGCACAGAAAATCAAGACTAAACTGAGCTTGCTGGTGAGGTTCAACATAGGGCATACTGGTTCCTTTTTTCCCTCCCCTCAAATCCTCCTCCTTCTCTAATACTCCCAACAAACATGCACACTCACATGCACACACACTTTTCTCTGCCTCTTCTCTTTAGAGAGTATGCGTATGTATGCACATGTAACATGCAATTAGGATCCACTGCATACATGTTTACATTTCAGTAACAGCCCCCTTCACATCTTAAAGAAGACAATAAAACTTATTTTAGACATGACTCTTAGGTTACTTCCAATCAAGATGGTGTTGCAAGTTTATATCTTGAGATCCCCTTTGCACCAAACACAAAAGATTTTAAAAGAACTTCAAAATGACAAAGCCACGCTCAAAAATAAGATAAACAGAACAGAAATAGAGCTTAAGCACAACAGTTGCAATTAAAGCTGCAAGTTACTCCTATGTTTCAGGTCCCAAAGTGGGTGGAAGAGGCTCTGAGGCTCTTATCACCAAGAGTACAAAGATTTAAAGTACCCCACTTGACACACAGTATTGGAGAAGGGTAACTACTTGAAATCAAGATCTGGGGTGGTGCTCCCCAGACCTTGAGGAAAGTGGGGGAAGAAAAAAACAAAAAAGCTGCAACAACTTCAGCAATATTTTCAGCATCAGATGTTCCCTTTATGAAGAATGAAAAATTTCTGCCAGTTCTGTATAGAGACTAGTTTACTCTTAGAAAAATCAGGAATAGAACATCTTAAGATAGAAAACCAACTTCTAAAACTAAAAATTAGTTGAAATTATATATTAATTACATAAAACTTCATTCTTTAGCATTACAATTAAAGCAATATCTAATGGTAACCATACTCCTTGGTGAACACCAGTGAAATTTCTACACGCTGATACTTGGACAAAAACTCAGAAAATCTTAACCACTGTAAATACAAAACCGAAAAAATTTAAATATGACAGTAGAAATTCTCACCTGTGTTTTGACTGTGATCTTTTCCTTCTAGAACGGGATTTTGAGCTAGACCTGGATTTTGAACGAGTGTGGGAACGAGATCGACCGCCTTTTCTTTCATTGTTCTTTCCAGACTCTGGGAGGAAAAAACCACTTTGCAGTGTAAGCTCAGAACAATTAAAGATCCCAGTTAATAATCAGGCACAAGTGGAATGTACCACATATAGTGCAAGGGGCCTACTCTCTGTACATCCTCCTCCTGTGCAATTATCCTTCAGAAACATCCAAGAAAGTCATTGCATAAACTCGTTGAGTGCAGCCACCCTGCAGCAGTACATATAAACCAGATGATTATAAACAGCTGTTCGTAGTATTTTGTTGCTGCCATAATGTACGATTATAACATGTCTGTAATTCCTATGACAGTGATTTTAAATCCTTTTTCCATTTATTTTCCTAGAATTGAAGCTTAAATTCTAATTTAGAATATTTGCTCAAATGTAAAAAACCATCTAGACATTTTTAGGTTGGATTTCTAATTTTAGTTAGCAACACAAAAGTTTGAAAGGGTGTTCCTTTACCATGCTAAAACAGGCTCTGTAGTTTTCTTAACTCATGGGCTCTCTTTTCTATTTTTAAAATTAAAACTTTGAAGGAAAAGTGAATCTGCTTAATCATAACATTTAAAATATTTATTCTTGTCTTTAGCCTCACAATAATATTTACACTTTGCTTTAAGCAAATCAGTTCTGCGTACTGATTTCGCTATTAAAATATAAAGAAGTGATTAACTCAAGCTAATGTACCTCAATTCAGTATCATGGAAAAAGATATTTGTGCTAAATAGTTCTTCAACCTTTAACACTAGTTAAGTCACTTACTCTTTCTTGAGTTTCAGTCTTCTTGTTTGTAAAATGAAGGGACTGAACAGATAATTTCTAAAATTCCTTCCAGCTCTAAGATTCTATGATCTTCAACTATGACCTATGTAACAACGCTATGGCCTTACCTGGTTCGATAGCTGCTGAGATAAAGGACTGAGCCTCTCGCACTCGCTTCATTACTTCTTCTAACTCCTTAGCTGCAGCCTGAGGTGTCATCTCAGGGGGTTTTACTATTGCATTGTTGGAGTGATTTATTCTAAATTAAAAATATTAGCATATCACAAATACACACCATATTTTACAAAACATGAAACAACTAATTGCTTATATGATACAGATATTTACAAATCTGAGGACATCTCAAAAGCACATTTAGAATAATATAGCTAAATACAGAATAACCAAAACCAACCTCAAAACCATGATTTATCTCATTCCCATCTGCCATCATCTCTTGCTAACAAAGGCAAAAAGCAAGGGAAAAAAAGAAAAACTGAACCCTAGCTAACTTCTTTAACAACCTAAATAGGCCAGGACAACCGCGTCTCCTCACAGCTTAGAGTTATAAATAAATTAAAATGGTGACACCAATATTAAAATGAATCACTTCTAAGATTATAAAATTTTGTTGATAACCTCTGCACCCTGGGAGGATGAAAGGGAACCTATATATCATGTGCACCATTTTAATCCACCCTGGACCATGGCCTAATCATACAGCTTCAAATATGGGAGGAATCTGATAAAACTCTTCCTTTATGGGTAACAGTGGTTTCTCTGATGCACATAAATGAATTTGGTGTGTCTCTTTTCACCATGGTGAAAACACAGCATTCACTAAGAACAGTTTCTTATCCCTTAATAGCAGACTCCTGATCAAACTGTATAATTAAGGCAATTATCTACAGAATTCAGATAAAATTGGTGCCTCAATAATGTGCATGAAATAGAATTTCTGGTCTTGAGTACCTGAAAGGCTACATCAACTTTTCATTTTGCAAACAAGGATGTGAGCAAACCTTAAAATGTATAATTTAAAACATTTCTGGGTACTTTCTTCCTGAAATTTTGGATTTACCAAAATTCTTATTACTATATTACTGTAAGTTCTACCCATATGTTAAACTGCCCATTAGTCTAGTGTAATAATGCAAAACCAACCTAACTTGTTAAAGATTATGGAAAAAGACCTACAATCAATATGTACGGTATAAAAATGTTAACTTTAAATTAGACCTTATGAAATAGAAAATAAGATGCCTTCAAATGTAACTTTAATTTAAAGGCTAAAATGGTAAATATCTCATGTGTTTCATTTATACTTAACACAAAGTCTTCCTTTCCACAAATTGCCAATTACTATTAAAAAGAAAAAAAAAACTGCATTACATCAAAACCACAAAATTTTTTCAAAATCATTAAAATTTCTTTGTTTAGTGTTTCTTACTTCAGTGGCCTGTCTCCAAACATAACTCCATTAAAAGCAAGGGCCCTTGGTACAGAATTTTGGTCTGCAAATTCCACAAAAGCAAACCGAGTCGGCTGAGTCTCATCACCTGCCATCCGCACAAACTTCACTTCTCCAACTTGTTTAAAAAATTCAAGTAGCTGATCAGCTGTTGTTGTCTGAAGAAACAAAGTAACACTTTAATAAAGTATATTCTTCTTTAAAAAAATTCAGGTAAATACTACTTTATCAATTGATACGATTTTTAATAAAGGGAAAGGAATAAGAGGTCCCACCACTCAATTTCTTCTTATATTAGTTACCTGGGAATTCAAATTGCCAACATAGACTGTTCTCCTAATTTCATCAATTTTGGAAGGATCCACATTTCCCATAAGTGGTGGCTGTGGTATCTCTCCAAGTGTTGCAATATTGGGGTCTAGTGCTGCTGCTGGTATAGCTCCCAAACTGCTAAGGGAAACACCCAGCTATAAAAAAATTAAAAAAAAAAAGAGCAGATATTTTCTATTAGTGTCAAAAATTACCATTCTCTAATCTTGAAGAATATTGATCAACTCAGTAAGAATGGGAAGAGACTAGGGACTCCTAATTTAAGCCAGGTATATATCTGAATTATTCAGAGTAAGGTCACAGTAGTTTTCAATGTAATTAGAAATACAACATATTTCTTAACTATCTGGGTATTTTAATTACTTCTAACCTTGACACTAAAAACAAACAGTCCATTCTCATTATCTGTAGTACTTATGTCCAATAAAGTTTGCCATGAAGACTGAATTATTAAATACTGAAATCGCTGCTCCTAGGGAAGAAACACAGGGCTAGGTTCCTATGAGCCTCTGGTCATAACACTTTCATCAAGTGATAAATAAATGACCTTGTTTTATGTGTGCTTCTGTTTAAAAATACCTTAGTTAGTATATATTATTGATTCATTAACATTAAACTCATGACCAGCAGCATGATCAACTCATGCCTGAATGAACCTTATCTTACATAAGAATTTTCTCTGTAAGGTACATCACAGGCTTCCAACACTTAGGAACACTAGACAGAACTTTAGCACTATGCTGGGGGCCAATTTAAAGAGCAAAACGACCAACATAAAGCACAAAAATGCAAAAAACATGACACTCGACACACCACACACAAAAAAGTTATTTACACCATTAGAGCTGAAATAAGAAGGCAGGGCATTGCTCTGTTTGAACTCATCTGAGAATGAACTTATCAAGCAACTCAATTTTCTCCTCATTCTATTTGTGTTGATGAATAACCACAAAAGCACCACAAGTACTGATTTTGAGATTTCAAATAAATTTTAGCTAGTATGTGAATTCACAAATACAGAATTCACAAATAATGAGAATCAACTGTACCTCGGGTATTCAACAACACTGTGAATTCCTAATACTTAACAATAATCAAAGCACCTAATTTTTGCTAGGTTATTAACTCAATTCTCAGAACAGCCCTAAGAGATAGATATTAATATTACACCAATTTCACAGATAAAGACAAAGTCTTACAGAAAATAATTTTCCCAAAGATACTCAGCTAACACGTGGTAAAACCAGGGTACCAGCATACACAGACTAAAATTAAAACAGGGACAAAGTTTACCTAAGAAAAGAAACCTAAAATATTAAACCCTTACTTATACTACGGTAGGAAAAAGATAAAAACCTTTGAATGATCTTTCATAACATTACTAAAATCAGTTTTTAGTTTAAGCATTAAGAAACACATTTTTAATGTGAATTTAAACTTGAAAAGATCTCAGAATTTGAAAATGAAAAATTTTGCAGAATTCACAAGGCTTTTCAAGGAAAAAAAACCCTGCAACTTTCATTTCCACTTTTGCAATTTAAGTCAAATAAGTTAACTGACTATATATTGTTATATTGTTGCAAAGCTACTAAAATTTAACAAATGTTAATAACACTTCCTAAAGGTGAAAATACTAGTTTATGAAAGAGTGTCACTTATGCTTACCATAGCAACCCATGTGTGATCGTTTCAAAACATGTCAAATCAAGTTTTACCTCTGCTTAAAACCCTTTACAATAAAATTCAAACTTCCTTCTGTGGCCTAAATAGCCCTACACCATCAGTGCCCTATCTATCCCTCCAATCTCAAAACACCTACTACCCTGCTGCCCCCCCACCCCGCCACCCTGCCTTCACAACCATTCTGCACCTGGAACACACAAGTTTTTCTCACTTTAGGGTTTCTCACTTGGCATTCCTTCGGCCCTAGAAAGCTCTTCCCCTAGCTTCTGCTGGCTGAATCCTTCAACCGCCAGGTCAATCACCCTCTCCAGGAGGCTTTCCCTCACCTTACGTACAGCCTCATTTACTCCCTACTACACCACTCTGGTTTTTTTCCTTCATAGTATTTATTACAATCTGTGGTATCTTGCTACTAACAGATCTTATATTTTTTGCTGTCACCATTTCAAGTTACCATAATGTTGTAGAAAATACCTTAGTTCAAAACAGGTGAATGGCCTAGCCTCCCTCCACATGTTGCGTCTAATCACACTCCTTTTTCCCCTACCATGTCTTTGATAGTCTAACTAACATTCACAGATGATTGAGGGTCATACCTTACATTTTTTTCTACCGTGCAAGAGAATTATTATATACAATTAAGCTAAATCACAAATATGAGTCTTATTATTTGTCAGTTTTGCATGGATTTAAAACAGGCCTTTCCTAGTATTCCCAGCTGTCAATCCCTTTGACCTACAAATTTCTTCACTGGGACATACAATTATAGATCTCTAATGGGCCTTTCCAAATCATCTAATCCAACTCCTTTGTTTCTCAAATTTAAAGATCATTCAGTCCTGTTTTTAGAAACTTTTCCTGTCTCTCTCTCTCTCTTCTTTGCACTATACCATTCTTCGACACTTGCGTCATTTAACATGGTAATCACCAATCACATATGGCTATTTGAATTTTAATTAAAATTCAGTGCCTCAGTCACACTAGCCACATTCCAAGTGCTCAAGAGCCACATGTTGCTAGTGGCTTCTACACTAGATAGCAGAGATACAGACATCTCCATCATAGCACAAAGTTCTACTGAATGTGGCTGCACTATAACAATAAAACTACCCTTCTTTAGATTAGCCTATTTTCTAGCCCTGGTCTAAAGGACCTAAATACTTAAGTTGCCCTTTCAGTGTTTGAGGGGGTAAAGATGACCTGACTCCCGATATAAAACTTTTGCCTTCTGACATAGAAACCTTGGCCTCCCTGGAGATGTGATTTTTAAATAGAAAGAAACCTCATGAAAGGTTTCACTCTTATGAAAGAGTAAAACTTTTCAATGTCTGGAAAGAAATGTTCTAGGCAGAGGATAAATAAGTACAACAGCCCTGAGACAGAAATATGTTTGGCATATCCAAAAATCAACAAAGCCAATAAGACTGAAATAGAGGGGAGCCAGGAAAACAAGTAGGAAAAAAAAGGTCAGAGAGGTAGCTAGGAGCCAAATCACGGGCCACCTTTCCCCTGTTTTCTACCTAAAATTATTCTTCATGAATTAAGCTTTATAAAAATACATATCTTGGGCTTCCCTGGTGGCGCAGTGGTTGAGAGTCCGCCTGCTGATGCAGGGGACGCTGGTTCGTGCCCCGGTCCGGGAGGATCCCACGTGCCGCGGAGCGGCTAGGTCCGTGAGCCATGGCCGCTGAGCCTGCGCGTCCGGAGTCTGTGCTCCGCAACAGGAGAGGCCACAACAGTGAGAGGCCCGCGTACCGCAAAAACAAAAAACAAAAAACACGTATCTACAGCTGAATTAAAAGGAATCATTTCCCCTCATGGCAACAAATTAAATAATAAAAACTTTCTCTTCTTGATAAATAAAACCTAAAAAGTTTCAAGATAGCAAGACAATACTTTCTGAGGAGGGGGGAAAAAAGCTGATGATCCAGGAATTAATCTTAAAATATACCAAAACATACCCAAAATAAAATTTTTAGAAAGCCCAATTCAAATGATCAGATGTTAAATTAAAAACCATTTACAGATCAGGACCTTCCAGATGGTGGAGGAATAAGCCCTGGAGATCACCTTCCTACCCGCAAATACATCAAAAATAAATTTACATGTGGAACAACTCCTACAGAACACCTACTAAATGCTGGCAGAACACCTCGCACTTCCCAAAAGACAAGAGACTCCGCACATACCAGGCCATGTGGCTGACAGGGTGCTCTGACCAGGTATCAGGCCTGAGCCTCTGAGATGGGAGCGCCGTGCTCAGGACACTGGACCACTTTCACCTCCCAGCCCTATGTGCCATCAATCGGTGAGAGGTCTCCCAGAGATCTCTCTCAACGCTAAGACCCAGCTCCACTTATCTACAAGCAAACTCCAGTTCTGGACATCCTATGCAAAACAACTAGCAAGACAGGAACACAACCCCACTCATTAGCAGAGAGGCTGCCTAAAATCAGAAGTTCACAGACACCCCAAAACACACCACCAGATACAGTCCTGCCCACCAGAAAGAAAAGATCCAGCCTCATCCTCCAGAACACAGGCACCACTCCCCTCCACCAGGAAGCCTACACAACCCACTGAACCAACCTTACCCACTCGGGGCAGACACCAAAAACAACAGGAACTACAAACCTGCAGCCTGCAAAAAGGAGACCCAAACACAGTAAGTTAAACAAAATGAGAAGACAGAGAAATACACAGCAGATGAGGGAGCAAGGTAAAAACCCACCAGACCTAACAAATGAAGAGGAAACAGGCAGTCTACCTGAAAAAGAATTCAGAATAATGATAGCAAAGATGATCCAAAATCTTGGAAATAGAATGGAGAAAATACAAGAAACATTTAAAAAGAACCTAGAATAAACAAACAATGATGAACAACACAATAAGTGAAATTAAAAATTCTCTAGAAGGAATGGACAGTAGAATAATTGAGGCAGAAGAACAGATAAGTGGCCTGGAGGATAAAATAGCGGAAATAACTACCGCACAGCAGAATAAAGAAAAAAGAATGAAAAGAATTGAGGACAGTCTCAGAGACCTCTGGGACAACATTAAACACACCAACATTCGAATTATAGGGGCCCCAAAAGAAGAAAAGAAAAAGAAAGGGACTGAGAAAATATTCGAAGAGATAATAGTCAAAAATTTCCCTAATATGGGAAAGGAAAGAGTCAATAAAGTCCAGGAAGCACAGAGTCCCATACAGGAAAACCCAAGGAGAAACACGTCGAGACACATATTAATCAAACTATCAAAAATTAAATACAAGGAAAAAATATTAAAAGTAGCAAGGGAAAATCAACAATTAACATACAAAGGAATCCCCATAAGGTTAACAGCTGATCTTTTGGCAAAACTCTGGTAGCCAGAAGGGAGTGGCAGGACATATTTAAAGTGATGAAAGGGAAAAACCTACAACCAAGATCACTATACCCAGCAAGGATCTCAT